AAAGACACAAATCCGTTTTGCTGGGAGCAATCCGTCTTTCTAAGTGACAGATGTGAATTGCTGTGTAGACATATATTCAGATGTGTAATTATCTTCAGCTTTGCACATGGCTTTAGAATAAGTGAGCCGCACATATCTGACAAATCACATTGGAGATTGAATATGGAGGGATACAGCTGAGTCAGGGATTTTGTGTTGCGTTTTCTTGTAAAAGATTCCTGGATGTTATTTTTCTGTTCAACATACCATCATGCAAATACATATTTGTGATTTTTTTTTTTTTTTTTTTTTTGCCTATGACTCTGGATTTGATGCATGGATATAAGCATTTTTTTCACATTTTAAATCTCAAAATTTAACCTGGATGCCAAACCGAACCCCGCCCACAACATTTTTGGGTCTGGAAGTTCGGTCTGGACTCGATCCATTGAGGAGTAATTATGATTGGTTCAGAAATCGTCAGGCCAATCAAATTGCCAGGGTGGACTTTATATGATTATGGACAGATGATCTGCAGTTACTTAATCATCACACCATCAAACTCACTTGGGTTGAACTGGTTTTCCTCAAAGTTGACTGCAGCTGGAAAATTGAGATGTATAGGTTCCGCTATCGCGTCTGTTGTAAAAGAAATAAACAGTGCATTAATTTGAAAAGATGAACAGAGAACTGCAAAGATGTGTTTGGCGTCCTTCCTATTCGGCAAATGTTTAATTTATCAGCTGGTTCAGACGGTCGCGATGGGACGCAATGAAAACCCTGTCGTTGTGGTTTCTCCTTTGGTCGCACTCATGGAGGATCAAGTAAAAGAAGCAACACTCTTTATTTTACTACTTCTCCCAGCATGCTTGCAGTTGAGTTCTGTTGACAGCTATGTGTAGCTCAGCGTTGCTCTGATTGGTTGTAAGTCTATCCAACTGAGTGCAGGGGTTTTTTTTTTCTTGGTTTGGTTAAGACACGCCTCATAATCAAAGCCCTATGGAGCAGTATCAGACTCGGATTCTGTCTAGAATATGAGTATGATGAAGTCAGGCTAGTCAAATTTAACCCTTAAACGCATACCTCTGGTTTTTAGTGTCCCAGGACGGCATTCATTCGATTTGAGGCGTTCGATTAAGAAGTGTTCATTGAATCGATTGTCTGAAATACCGGCAGAATTAACATTTTTGTTGTAAAAAGTGCGTTCGCTGTGGCCGTTTTGTGACGAACTGGACTTGCTCTGAGAGAAGCGCATTTTCGAAACTTGTGTTGGTTGGTCCGATCGATTGTGCAGTCGATTTTCGAACGTTGTTATGTACGCTAGGGGTATGCATTTTGTCTTTGCATGTATGTTTGTATTTTCTTTCTTTCAGGCATGACATTCATTGGAGGCTCCGTCTGTCGAATATGTGGGCGTCAGGAATTGCGCCACCAATCGCCTGTCGCCGTGCAGTTTATAAGTGGAACTAACTACAATGGTGACAGTCAAAACAGACTCTGGGTTTGAGAGAGAGCCTGCATGCTCTGTGAGGATGGTTCTCTAGTTGGAGAGACCAGTCTGAGAGACTGATCAGTGTCTGGGGTTCGCTGCTTTTACGACCTCGCAGTTAGATCAGTCCTCTTTGTTTGTGCTCTTGATTTGTGTGTTCTTGATATGTGCTTGTGCACGGCTAAATGTTTGTTGCTCTTATGGCATTGTCATCTCAGTTCCCGTCCAACTCCATGTAGACTGGCGAGAGAGGTTGTGACCTACATCTGCACATATAGCTATCAATGAAATGTACAGTATTAGATGCACTAGTGTTAGGAGTGGTGCTAATTATTTATGTTTTGTTTGTTTAGTTAGTATCAGCCGTAGGGGGCGTATCCACTCATGATGAGGGAGGAGAGAGAGTAAGATATGAAGAAGGACTGTAGAAAGAGAGATGGCTGAGAGACATTACAAAAGAGAAAAGGCCAGAGGAATATCACTGGGGGAAAAGGGTTATGATCAGGCAAGAGCTTTTAGGACCCGCATTAATATTAGAAAAGCTTTCCAGAGCTGGAGAGACCAAAGTGGGAAGGCCTAAAAACAGACGCAGAGGTTGTTGTTTCTGCTCACTACATGAATAACATTGGCTTTGAATGTCATTGTTTGTCTGGAGATTGTGTGCTCTTGCTTTTGTATACTCTTGTGTTGTTGATTTTTTTTTTTTTTTGTTCTTGACGTTCATTCGGCATGTTTGCTTTATTTTTTACTCTTCTGCTATGATAAAGAGACATCAACTCTTGCAATGTGTATTCATGCATTGAAGGGAAGGTGTGTTTGTTTGGGTTGATTGGTGTTCAACAGTGTTTCTCAGAAATCAATTACTGCATCTTTAATTTTAGCTCAAATTCAAAGTTATTTTTGCAATATCTAAAACTGTTTTAGCAATTAAAATGCTATGTACCAATGCAAATTTGCTATGCAAGGATAATTTGCATCATTGTGCATATCAAAGTCAGAATGTCTAAAACAATCATGCACAGTAATTTAACAATTAAACTACAGTACTTTGAGCCAATGCAAAGTACAACATGGTGACTTCCCAGCACCTTTGCAGATGACAGTCATTAACACCTGTATTCTTTATCAAATTTGCTTTTAATGGAAGTCATTATGTTTTGATTTCGCTAATGATTTCATTTTGCTGTATTAGTGAATGTCGCTGTAAAGACTGAATGCACTGTACGAGGACTTGAGTGGGAGATTCTGTTTTTCAGAGCAGCTGAGTTACATATGGATAAATGGATAAACTGAATGTTCAGTGCACATACTGGAGCACAGAGGCCATTTGGAGAAGTGCTGATTTTGTGTGTGCTGTCTTGTCAGCTCTCTCCATTAGCACTGAGGGTGCGTGGCTTCCATGATACTTGCGCACAGAGAAGACAATGCTTTTCTACAGACCAATCTCGAGTCTAAGTGCATAGTTCCCTGCTAGACAGTGTGCAAAAGCAGTATATTAAATGAAGTCAACAATACTGAATTCAGAGGCAAAATGCAGTAGCTACATCTACATTAGAATGGAGAAAAATAGCTTCAAAGTTCTATTTTATTGATAAGCCTGTGAGCCTGAAGGCTCTTTTTTAAGTGTAAGTGCTATATCAACCAAGAAAGTTGTTCCTTGTGGTTAAATTATTTTCATGGTGGTTTTTAATACATCATAAGTCAAAGAATATACTTTGGACAACACCAACATTGCAGATGTAGTATGTTTTGTAATGTTTGTCCAGGATAATACTTCTGGCCTACTTGATGTCTCAATCTCTTTTTTAGTACCTCAGATTATCATGCACACAGTTCTAAATGCAGTCTCTTCATCTCTGCAATAGGACGATGTGTTTCCTGCTCAGACAGAATGAGTTTGTGTGTTTGCATGCTTGTGTAAGAATGCCTCCAGATACAACCTAGGACTGTTTTCACTATACTTGTGTCACACCAGTTTACCCTTCCTATAGTCCAAGGCTCTGTGGCAATGGAACAAAATTGCTGGAAAATGTATGTAAATAAGCTCCTTGTTTTATTCATAGAGCTGGAAACTGAGCTGTAGGGCAACCATTGTTTTTGATTACCATCAATATAAAGTCTCTCCGTGTAATTACAGTTAGCAGCTACAACGCATGTAAGGAACATCCAACAAGGCCAAAGAAGTTCAGAGTGGAAGCTTTACAAAATTACTAAAGTTTAGGGAAAGGAAGAGAAGACTTGTGAGTTGGCATGACAAACATAAAAAGAAAGACATCACATCAGATTTGGTGTCTTAATTCTACTCTTGGGATGTTGGAGCCATTCCATTATGTTTATCCAAGGTACTAGTTGTTTGGTATATCCGTCAGGGGCGGAAGGGCATAAGTTACTTTGTAAAGTGAGTAGGGATGCACAATATATTGGTAGTGTATCAGTTATCATCTGAGAATATAAATGTGTATAATTAAGATTTTTTTTGTTTGTTTCACATTTGAAAGAAGTCTCTAATGCTTAGGCTGCATTTATTTCATCATACATATGTAGAAACAGTAATACTGTGATATATTATTAAAATTTGAATATATTTAAAATTTTAATTTATTCATGTGATGGCAAAGCAGAATTTTCAGCAGCCATTACTCCAGTCTTCAGTGTCCTTATTCTCCAGAAATCATTCTTATTTGGCTATCTGTTTATTACTGGTGCTCAATTATTAATAATGTTTTTGCTGCTTGATATTTGTGTGGGACCTGTGATAGTTTTTTCAGGATTTTTGATGAATTTGAAATCTAAATCTTTTGTAATGTTTATAAATATCTTTACTGTGAATTTTAAACAATTTAATGCAAATAAAATGCTTAACAACAATAAAAATAATTATTATTATTTTAAAACATACTTTCCCCAAACTTATTCGTCTTATATTAGTGTCATCAATCAAACAATGAGTATCCATTTTTCATACTGTACTTTAGTATGTTGGGATCCCTTGTTTATTTATTTATTTTTTGTAGAGAACTTCGTATAGAGGTTTAATATCTACCAAATGTTGTTGCTGGCTTTTTGGTATAGGCCAGAAATCATTCATCCCTAAAAGATAATTCTATTGGATCTCCAGGCCAAACATATACTGATGAATGTACCGCTTAGAAAATGAACTCGGTCATGAAATGGCTTCACTTCTTGGGTATATTCCTCTATTTGGTATAATATGTGTAATATATCTTACTGCAGGCACTGGATGAGGTCTTCAAATTCTGCCTGTGATGCTTCACTCAAACTGGTCCTATTACTGTAAAATCACCTCCATTTGCATCCCACCAGGAACCACATAAGCAATCCGAGACATTTTCTCCCCTCCTGCTTTCATTTTGCACTGTTATATTTGCTGCACATTTACCCTCAAGCGTTGCTGGGGGGTTTGACTTCCGAGGTTAGAATAAAAAACTGCTGTGAGGGAAAAAAATGTTCTTGACTCTTGATTTCCTCTTTCAACCTTCTGACCGTTATAAATGTTTATGCTGTGTTGCAGGGCAGTGAGGAGGGAGATGTGGATAAGAACAAGTGCTGTACGCTGTGTAACATGTCCTTTACTTCAGCTGTGGTAGCGCAGTCTCATTACCAAGGCAAGATCCATGCTAAAAGGCTCAAACTTCTGCTGGGTGAACAGCCTGCCATAACAGCCAAAGGTAAGCATAGCACACTCACACGCACACACACATAGCACTAAAAAGTTCTCTGGGAGGGTGCTTGTATATGAAGGGATCAGTTGGAGAAGACTGTGTGTTGCTGGAGGATCAGGGCAGGCGTTTGAAAGAGCCGGACACTCTCAGCCTTGCACTGCACATCAGTGCTCACCGCCTACTTGCCTACAGGGGTAATTGACCTAAAAATAAGGAGGAAGAAAGTCTATGTTTCTGTCTGCGGATTTATAAAAGGAGCTTTATGGAAGCAGCCAACTGAAAGCAGTGTGTTTGAGAATAGTCGTCACACTGTCTGCATATTTGTGTTTATGTCTGTGTTCATTCTTGCATTATGCTTCTGCCATGCAGTGCTTTGCTGTGCATGTTAGGTTTCTGACCTGTTTACAGCACAATAGCGGTGTGAGATTGTGTCGAGAATGAGCAGGAAACACTCAGGGATCAGTGGGCTCTCAGGAATCATCTGCCTGTTGGAGAACACAAAGGAAATACAGTACAGTAGAGAAGCTTTGTGTTTCATTTCGATTTCAGCCAATGGTGAGAGACTACACTGGCTCTCAATTCGGTTCAGTATCCATTACTCACCAGCTTTCCTACTGGCTGTGCCGCCAAATGCCCAATGTGTTTATTAATTACACTCTTCAATGGACAGCTGCGCCGCATATGGCATAGTTAGGAGGCTTACCACATCACATCCAGTGTTTAGGATCAATTACACAGTTCTAATGCTTGAGATAGAGTCAGAGTCTGTCTACTCTGTGTATCAAACTGATGTAATCTAATGGGCATAAAAGGCAGACTGGTGGATGAAAATCCCTGTGGGGTACTGGATTCTGATTGGTCCATGTTGTTGTCCATAGCAACACAACATAACTGACCATTCATCTGGGAAATCTTTGCACTGAATAAAAACTGACAGTTTGATCAGGACACCCGTGGTCCCAGAAATGTCATGCCCATTTATTGGCTGTGCTGTTAGTGGAATAATTAGTATTATTATTTAGGGGTATTTTTATTATTACATTAATTAGATTATTTTAATAATTATAATAAAAACATTTAAATTATTATCATTATTAATTATGAGTGTATAATCATTTTAAATAATTAAAATTGTATTAAAAATAAACATTTTGACCAGGGGCCATATTCACAAAGAATTTTAAGGCTAAAAGTAGTTCCTAACAGGTGAATTTAGGAGCAACTCCTAAAAATAATTTTAGGACTCCTATTTTTTTGTTTTACTAAGAGTAATTCATGAAGCATTTTAGCCATAAAAGTAACACCTAAGTCAGGGGCAGCTTAAAAGAAGTCGAGAGGACTCCTAACTCACTAAGACCTATTCACAAAGGATTGTAACGCATACCATCTCCTCGCGCCTGCCGTCCGGGGTCCGCGACACAAGTGGGAATGCTGAATTCATCTGCAAACAAATCCTCTCCCATGTCTCATGCTTAGTTTTGCTTGATATCCCAGTGCCGAATTTCCTTTTTATTATGTTGTTGTTGTTTATTTTTCAGCACCAACTGGGTCAGCAGCAGTAACCGATCCTGCATCCAGTTGGGCTTTCTTTTCCGTTTTGGCGAGTTCATAATCCACCGTCATTCAGCTATTACATTACTTCAATAGGAACATTTCCTTGCTTTAACTATAGTCTATTTAGGCTAATAGGATGTCAATTAACCAAGCAAGTGTTAATGCAAGTGTCATTTTTTTCATTATTAGGCAAGTGGAGGTTTTCATTAGGGTATTAGGCACCATTCACATATAGCGCCTAAAAATGCAAGGCGCGCCGTGTTTTCCAAAGCGCTAGGGCGGTTGCGCTCCGGTTAGTTCCTGTCACGTGACCTACGGTGCGCTCCATACGGACACGTTTGGAAAAAACGAGAGCACATACCGCGTGTCCGTACATTTAAAATAACAAATTTGAGCGCGCAATATACACGATATGTTAACACTGCAGGGCCTTAGGCTACCTTGAATAATTTAATTCATGACTTTTCTCTCTCTTTTCTCTTTTCTCTCTCTGCCTTTTTTAGTATTACACTTCACTGGGGCCTGCACAAACATGTCATTATATTTGCATTTCAATGACATTAATAATAATGCATTTTATTTGAAAGAACTTTTCTGAGTACATAAAGACACTTTACATAGAAAAAGAACAAAAAATCACAAAAGCAGCAGGAACAATATCAAATGAATGCACAAAAAAAACCACACACTGTACTAAGCTAAACATTAAAAGCAATTTTAAAAAGGTGAGTTTTTATCAGTGATTTGAATGTTGGAAGGTCAGTGCAGTCACGGATTTGTTTGGGGAGAAAGTTCCAGAGGGAGGGGGCAGCATCAGAGAAGGCTCTGTCACCCCAGGTTCGGTGCTTGGTCCTGGGAGGGGGAGTCAGGAGGTTGGCATCAGATGAGCAGAGGCTGCGTGATGGGTTGTGGCGGTGGAGCAGGTCACTGAGGTAAGCAGGGGCCTGGTAATGGAGGTTCCTGAGGACCTGTGGTCACGGGTGCGGGTGTGGGTGAGAGTTCTGGATGTATTGGAGTTTGTTTAAGGTTTTAGAGGTTATGCCATACAGGAAGCTATTGCAGTAGTCAATTCTGGAGGTGATGAAGGCATGTATGAGGGTTTTTGCAGCGGAGAAAGAGAGTGATGGACACGGTCGGGCAATGTTTTTGAGGTGAAAGAAGGCAGTTCTGGTGACTTGTTTTATGTGGTGTTCAAAGGAGAAGTTATTGTCAAAGATGACTCTGACGTTGCGACTGTGAAGGGATGGAGACAGGGTGGAGGTGTCAACAGTGAGGGAGAAACTGTGAATGGTTTTAGTGATTGGTTTGGGACCGATGATGATCATGTCTGTTTTTTTGGAGTTGAGTTGAAGGAAATTGGTGTTCATCCAGGATTTAATGTCAGTGAGGCAGTTGGTGATAGTGGAGTGTGATGGATTTAGTGAAGATATAGAGTTGAACATCATCGGCATAGCAGTGAAAGTTGAGACCATGGTGGCGAATGATATTGCTAAGGGAAGCAGGTATATTATGAAGAGGAGAGGACCAAGGACCGAACCCTGGGGGACGCCTTGGGGCAGCGGAGCAGTGGAGGAGGTGCTGTTGTTTATGTAGATGAATTGTTGTCTGTCAGATTGAAGCAAGGAGAGGGCAGTGCCGGTGATACTGAGAGAAGATTCAAGGCGGGAGAGAAGAATGGTGTGGGCGATAGTGTCAAAAGCCACAGTTAGATCAAGGAGGATGAGGATGGTGAGGTAACCAGCATCTGCAGAGAGGAGGATGTCGTTAGTGACTTTGAAGAGAGCTGTTTCAGTGCTGTGATGTGATCAGAAACCAGATTGAAATCTGGTTTCTGAGCCATCAAGTTGTTTGGCGACAGTGCGTTCTAGTAACATTACTATTATTATTTTATATGGGATATTTAGACATATTTAGATGTCATAATTCCATGATTTGTTGCTGCGTTATGTTCCGCATGATGGCCCTGTCATCTAACAACCAATCACCATGATCTTTGCGAGGAAGCTCATGCATGAGAATTGACGTCATCCATTAGCAACAGAGACTCACACTTAGTTTAGGAGTTGTAATTTTTCCTTACTAAGAGTAGATCTGAAAAGGCTTTGTGAATAACTTAAGAGAAATCTCCTAACTCAAATATTTTAGTGCGATTTAGGAGTTCTCCAAGTGGTAAGATACAATTCTTTGTGGATACGGCCCCTGATCACCCCTGAACTGTATCATTTTGCAATAATGATAGACTGATTGCATATTTCTCCTTTACTTATCATCCGTAATGGTGGGTATTATTGTGTAATAGTCTTGTGTGCCATGTTAATTTAAAATATAGTGGTTCATTTTTTTCACAGTCTTATTTTGAATACAAGCCTATGCAGCATGTCTGGCTTAAAATGAATTGCTACTGTAGTCTTGATTTTTCCTTTGCTCTCTCTCTCTCTCTCTCTCTCTCTCTCTCTCTCTCTCTCTCTCTCTCTCTCTCTCTCTCTCTCTGCTTGTTCCTCCCATGTTTCCTGTCACTGACTGATGCCATCATTAGCTGTGCCATCTGCGTCTGATGGCTCGAGACAGACGAGGCTTGTGTCCCACTCTGAGGGGATTGAGTCAGACTATCAATCCCTCTGACATGTGGCATACTGAGACAGACGAGCTCAGGACCAGCTTAACTAAGCAGAGAGGAGTTCACTTTAAACTCAGTAAGCTTTTCAGTGCCCTGACAATCTGGGGACAAACTGTAAACATGTTGCAGTTTCTCCTCAAAATGTCTTCACAGTAGCCAACAACTGCTGAAGTCAAAGTGTTTTTAGACAAAGACATTAAGTAGGTGATGTTTAAATGTGTGGTTTATTGATTTATAGATTGGAAATGTTCACAAGAACTTCCTTAAAGTATGTTGCTGGGCCTGTATTCATAAACATTCTAAGAATCCTCTCCGAAAACTCTTAATTTAGCTTAAAAACATTTTTACGTAGGAGACTTAGCTTAAAGGAGTAGTTCACTTTTAAAAAAACTTTTGCTGATAATTTACTCACCCCCTTGTCATCCAGGATGTCCATGTCATTCTTTCTTCAGTTGAAAAGAAATTAAGGTTTTTGATGAAAACATTCCAGCATTTTTCTCCAAATAATTCACTTCAGTGGGAACCAAACGGTTCTAGGTCCAAAAGACACTTTCAGTACAAACTGCAAACTGTTCAAAGGGCTTTAAACGATTCCAGGCGATGAGTAAGGGTCTTTTGTTACATTGAGAGGTTGATCAGGCATACTGTCACCAGCCTTATATATATATATATATATATATATATATATATATATGAGAGAGAGAGAGAGAGAGAGAGAGAGAGAGAGAGAGAGAGAGAGAGGGTTTATTTTTGTAAATCTCAAAAAAGTGACATTTTTAGAAATGTAATTTTTGTATTCATGGTGTTTTGATTTCTGAAAAATGTTTAGGCCATT